AAGAACAGATATCAACAGCTGTGAGCAGAGCTGGAGCTGGGCTTGCAGCAATCTGAGGTCAGAACAGCAGAGGAGGCTGGGAGGCCAAGTCCGAGTGTTTTAATGGAATAAAAGTGTCTCATATGGTATGTGGGTCCACAGCCAGGCTTTTTGCTAGAAGCCATGGACTGAAGCCAGGCTGCACTCCCTCCATCTCTCACCACATACTACCTGCTGGGCAAGGAACGCCAAACATCCATCATCCCTGTACACAACTCTGGGTGCAGAGATGACACCACATCACAGCCAAGCCCTGTGCCAAGCCACCCTCAGGCCCAGCAACTGGCTCTTCAGTGACACCAATATCACTAGGGAACAAGGACCCCAACACTCCAGTATGAAATGATGGACTAGAAATCTTGGGCTACTGGGAGTAGAAGTAATTGTAAAACTGTGAGATGGGAAGAAATCAGGAGAAAGAGAGAGAGGAAAGAGGGAGAAAGAGGGAGAGAGGAGAAAACGAAACAAACAAGCAAAAGCCTCCTACTCAAGATGGGCCACCAGCAAAAATTCCAAGACACTCAAAGAAAACTACAGCCAGCAAATCTACCCTGCACAGTGTGTATCTACCACTCTAGATAGACAAAATAATAGAGGAAACTGAAAAGGATTTTAAATGAGAATGTTTAAAATCTTTAAAGTGACAAATCACAGAATCACCTATATGAAAAAGAAAATATGGAACAAAAAGAGGCATAAATGAAATGAGAATATTTAGATATGAAACCAACTTAAAATTACTGAAGATAAATGTAAAGAACCAAAAGGGAGACCTGACTTCAGATATTTAAAAATTTTTAACAAACATAAGAGAATGCTATGAACAGCTCTATGACAAAAAAAAAAAAAAATAGGCAATTTACATCAAATTTAAGATAACTTTACAGAAACATTTAAAAAATTGACTCAATGTACATACAGATCAATAACCATTAAAGACACAGAACTGATAGTTTTATATTTCTTCCCTTTCTCTCACTCCTTCCCATCCACATTCCCATCCTTAACCACCTTCCCCAAAACTTGGACAAAAAAAAAAAAAAAAAGGATCAGATAAGTTGTAATAAAACTCCAAGAGACGTATTATTCCTATTTTATTACAATTCACTTCAGCAAATAGTGAAAAAAGGAAAGCTATCCAACTTGACTTATGAGACTTGTATAATATTGATAACAAAACTGGGCAAGGACATTACAGGGAAAAATAGTCTCAGTTTTGAATACAGGTGCAAGAATACTATATAAAATTGCATCAAATTTAATTCAGCATTTAATCAACTAATACATTGCAATCAAGATGGGTTTATTCCAGAAATACAGGGACAATTTCAACAGCAGAAAATCAATAATGTAAGTCACTACATAAACCCAATTAAAGGAGAAAAATTATTTCAATGGGTACAGACAATTTATCTGATAAAATTCAATACTCATTCATATAAAAACTCTCTACAAGGAAATAGAAAGTAGAAATAGAAAAATTCTTAGCAGCAGTAATAGAAGGAAAGGGACTTCCCTGGTGGTCCAGAGGTTAAGACTTTGCCTTCCAGTGCAAGGGGGTGCAGGTTCAATCCCTAGTCGGGGAGCTAAGACCCCACATGCCTCGCAGCCAAAAAACCAAAACATAAAACAGAAGCAATATTGTAACAAATTCAATAAAGACTTTAAAAAAATGGTCCACATCAGAAATAGAAGGAAAGAAGGAAACTTTCTTACCCTGACACATCTACCACACTCCTACCCAGCAAACATGAATAGTAGAACATTTGAATGTTCTTAAAGTCAGGAACAAGCAAAAGTGCCTGCTACCACTGCTATCATTCAACACTGTACCGGAGATTTTAGCAAAATGCAAGAAAACTAAACAAATGATAAGAACTGGAAAAGAAGAGACAAAAATTATTATTTGTTCAAGAGACTCTATGTTAAAAAAAATCACAAATATGAGTGCAAGAACAATGCTGCTTGTGTAAGTTCAACATTCAAAAATCACTAATGTCCTATATACCAACAGCAACCAATTAAAATGTAGAAGAAAAAGATCCAATTTATAAAAGCAATAAGAAATATAAAGTACCTAAGACTAAATCCAGTAAAGTGTGCAATTCCTTTACAGATAAAACTAGAAAATAAATTATTGAAGAACCTATGAAGAGACTATGACATGGAGATTATAACATGGAGAGGTATACCAGATTCATGGTTGGGAATATTCAACTTCATGAAACTGTCAATTCATCTCTAATTAATCCACAAATTCTATGAAATTCTCATCAAAATCTCAAGGGATTTTGGAGGATCTTGATGAGCTGATGCCAAAACTCTAATGAAAAAGTAAAAGACCAAGAAGGGCTGAGAAAATTTTGCTAAGTGAAATACAGTCATCCTGAAGTATAGAATTTATCCCCACTAGATACAAAACCTGTTATAAAGTGTATGGAAACATTGTGGAATGAGCCCAAGGATAAATAGATCAATGTGACCTAAGAAAGGTTCAGAGCCCTGCATGCATGAAACTGGGTGTGTGAGGGGCTGGCTGTACGAGCAGGAGGCGGCTGCACCACTAGGTCTGTGGTGGTGGGACAACAGGCTCTCCATACACAAAAAATTAGGTCCTCTTCACATGCCACACGTAAGTATCTAAATGTAAGAACCAAATATGTGCAACTTTTGAAAAAATTAGAGGAGAGTATCTTTATGGCTCCAACATAGGGAAGAATTTCTTGAATAAGGCACAGAAAGCAAAAGCTAGAAAACAACGAATCAATTTTATTAAAGGATAAAGCTTTTAATAACAAAAGACCCCGAAGCAAAATCAAAAGACAAGCCATGGACTGACAAAAGGTCAGAAACTAGAACTTTATGCCATACAATGTAACTTTTATGAGAAGTTGAAAAATGCATTGTACCACACTGTATATGCTGTGTGTGTGTGTGTGTGTACACATGTGTAAGAATAGAAACCTACATATTAAAATGTACAAAAACAGGGAAAAGAAAGATCATGACTGCTGGAAGAAGGGAGGGGAATAAGATTGTGGTGATTTCCATTTTATCGGTAACACTTTATCTTTAAAACAAATCTGAAGCCAAAAAAGGTTTTTTGTGAACTCCTTGCACTTATTTCTTTTATTTTTGAGATAGTTATGATGTGCAGCCCATACTTTAAATCCCTCTCCATAGATATTTAATACTATTACTTTAAAATAACAATTTATATTTTGAAAATTATCTATTTGAATAGATTACATTTTGAATATATAGGTAATACGGTAAAAAAACATGTCAACTGTTCAAAATTCTAAATGGATTGAAAGTTATACCATGAAAATACTTCTTCCCATCCCTGTTCCCAACTACTTGGTTTCTTCCCAGGAGTTTACCAGTATTACTAATTTCTTGTTTATTTTTCTGTAATCAAGCAGTTATGTCTTCTTTCCCCCTTTCTTTTTACAGAAAAGGTAGCTTACTCTTTACTCTTTTCTGTACATCTTGGAAAGCATTTTGTATCGGAATAAAAACCTTCCTGCTCCTGCTTTCGTCCTCCGTCCTTCTGAATGGCACTGCGTGGCATTTCATTATACCGATGGACCACACTTGATTTAACCAGTGGCCCCCACATTTAAGGTTTTTGTCATTGCAAACAATTCTGCAATAAATACCTTCAAACAAATGTCATTTCACACAGATGTAAGCATCTTAGGATAATTTCTAGAAGCCACATGATAAGTGGCTGGACCAAAGCACGTATACATTTAAAATGCTGATAGGACTTCCCTGGAGGTGCAGTGGTTAAGAATCTGCACTTCCACTGCAGGGGGCGTGGGTTCCATCCCTGCTCAGGGAACTAAGATATCGCTCACAGTTTATGTTTCCCCACTCTTCCAACACAATATGAATGTAGTTTTCATTTGCACTTTTCTTAGCATGAAATTGAGCATATATTTTAATGGCTAAAAGTATTCCTGAATTTAACTTTTTGTGAATTGGTTTATTCTTTTCTTATTGTTCTTTTCTTTTTTTTTTTTCGTACGCGGGCCTCTCACTGTTGTGGCCTCTCCCGTTGCGGAGCACAGGCTCCGGACGCGCAGGCTCAGCGGCCATGGCTCACGGGCCCAGCCACTCCGCGGCATGTGAGATCTTCCCGGACCGGGGCACGAACCCGTGTCCCCTGCATCGGCAGGCGGACTCTCAACCACTGCGCCACCAGGGAAGCCCTATTGTTCTTTTCTTATTCATGTTCTTTTCTTATTGATTCACAAGTGCTCTTAAATAAAATTAGACCTTTGACTTTAATGTGTGTTGAAGACATTTTTTCCCAATTCATCCTTTGTCGTTTGACTTTGCATATGGTAAGTTTCTGTCATAAAAACATTAAAAATTGTTATGTATTTTATGTTTTTAGTCTTTTCCTTATGGCCTGTGGGTTTTGTGTCATATTTAGAAAAGCCTTATACGCCAAAGTTTTTATTTATTTGGCTGCACCGCACGGCATGCGGGATCTTAGTTCCCAGACCAGGGATTGAACTCATGCCCCCTGCAGTGGAAACACGGAGTCCTAACCACTGGACCACCAGGGAAGTCCCTCCAAAGTTATTTTTAAACTCCACGTTTTTTTCTAGTACTTAAAAAAAAAATAGATATTTGCCTATTTGGAATTTATCTTGGTATGAGCTGTGAGATAGATTCAACTTGCTGTCTTCCACATAGTTACACAGTTATCCTGCATGATTTCTTGAATAATCCATCTTTTTCCCTTTAATTTGAAAAGCTACCTTTATCACATGGTTAAATATCAACATGTCTATTTCTAGATTTCTAATTTGATTCCATTGATGTACACATTCCTGC